GAGGGGATGAGGGGTGAGAGGTGGTGAGGGGTGATGGTGGTGGGGTGATGGTGGTGAGGGGTGGTGAAGGTTGAGGATGGGAGGGGTGGGGAGGTGAGGGGTGGTGAGGGGTGAGGGTGGTGGTGGGGGTGAGGGGTGGGTGAGGGGAGGGGTGAGGGGTGAGGGGGTGGGGAGGGTGAGGGTGGTGAGGTGGTGGTGAGGGAGGGGTGAGGTGGTGAGGGTGGTTGGGGGGGTGAGGGTGGTGAGGGAGGGGTGAGTGTAGGGGGTGAGTGTGGTGGGTGGTGGGGGTGGAGGGGGTAGGGTGGGAGGTTTGAGGGTGGTGAGGGGTGAGGGTGGTGAGGGTGGTGAGGCGTGAGGGCGGTGAGGGATGAGGGTGGTGAGGGTAGTGAGGGGGGGTGGTGAGGGTAGTGAGGCAAATGAGGGGTAGCTATGGGTAGAGTGGGTGGCCCCTGGGTGGTGGGCAGAAGAGGAACAAACATATGGGTGGTGTGGGGTGGTGGTATGTGACATAGGCAGGTGTGGGTGGCATTCAGGGTGGTATGGGCGGCATAAGTGACATGGACGACGTGGTATGGGCGGCATAAGTGACATGGATGGCGTATGGTATGGGCGGCGGTATAAGTGACATGGATGGCGTGGTATGGGCGGCATAAGTGACATGGATGGCGCGGTGGGGGCGGCATGGTGTGTGGGCGGCACAAGAAGGCGAGGAGCCACCACACTTCTGGTCAGCAGCGCCTCAGGCTTCAGTGAGTTATGAATGAAGAGCCTGCGGGTCGTTGCCTCCCCTAACTACCCTTGAAACACCCCCTAACTACCCCAGAAACAACCCCCTAACTACCCCTTGAAACCCTAACTACCCCCTTGAAACACCCCTAAAAACACCCCTAACTACCCCTTGGAAGCACCCCCAACTACCCCTTAGCCATACCTTGGAGCCTACATTAACTTTCCTTTATTTTACCCTAAGAATGTCCCTTAATAGAGAGAGAGAGAGAGAGAGAGAGAGAGAGAGAGAGAGAGAGAGACCACCATAATCTCCACTCAATCACGGCCTCACACAGGAAGTCCACTTTACCCAACCCCTAGGTGGTAGTCTGTGCTGGGGCAAGGAAGAAGGAGGGGAGGGGAGGGGAGGGTGAACACGGTGGAAGGGGAGGTGAACATGGTGGAAGGGGAGGGGGGTGAACACGGTGGAAAGGGGTGAAAGGGGGAGGGGAAGACGACCCTTTCATGCGGTAGTGAAAGCTAAAAAGAAGAAGTAAGGGAGGTAATAGTGGGGGTGGGGAGGGGTACATCAGGCCCCCCATAGCTGTGGTTCATTCACAGGTTCCAATCTCCCCTCCCCCACCCCTTCCTCCCCTCTCCCCGGGCCACAGGATGTCTTCCCCCCCACCTGGCCAACACTTCCGTTCCTGTGGCGGCCCAGATGGTGAAGGTGAGGGCACGATGATGTACTATTCTGGCCCTGGGTATGTCTCTCTCTCTCTCCCTCACTCTCTCTCTCTCTCTCTCTCGCTTAATACCCACCCTATTACTAAGTTAGGTTTAATTTAGGATATGGTTAGGTTAACTAAATTTTGGTCAGATTAAGACAAGTTATTTTTGTTGCGGTTAATAAAGGTTATGTAAGTTTAAGTTAAATTTGTTAAGGCTATCAGATTTAGTTCGGTTAGGTTAGGTTAGGTTTACATTCAAAGCCTTAAGAGAGGTTAGGTTACATTATGACGTAAAATATAAAGGGCGAATCACTGGAAAGGAACACCGTCACGAACCAATCACCGTACATCATGCCCAAGACGAGGATTTGGGCGGAGTTCGTCGTTAACAAGTGCGGGTTCACTACTTAGCAGCGTGTTGTAGTTACCAACCACACGTTACATGTAGTTATCTTAACTCATCGTACTCAAGGGGTTTAACTCTCCATTAATTAAACATTAAAGAAATAAACAAAAAACTTACTAATTTACGAGAATATATATGAATCACTATATAATAATTGAGACTTGTAGTAATGAATGAATTAAAAAACATGACATATCTAGATAAATAGAGATATTCCGTTAAATTTTCATACAAGTATACATTGATCCATCATGTATACAGGTAATGTAAGTATACAATGTACCGAGACAGTATAGGTATACAAAGTACCTAAACAGTGTAGGTAAACAAACACAGACTGAAGGAGTGTGTTATGCAGATGAGGGTGATGCAACAAACAGAGAAGTACCAAGAGTTCACCTACGGGAGAACACCTCGACACTTACAAGACTCAAGAACATTTGTTAGTTACGGGGTCAAGAAAAAAAGCTCCTCAGTTAAAGTACAAAATAGTTCAGGTTACGTTAGGTTATGTTTAGGTTAGGTTATGTTTAGGTTAGGTTAGTTTAGGTTATGTTTAGGTTAGGTTATGTTTAGGTTAGGTTATGTTTAGGTTAGGTTATGTTTAGGTTAGGTTATGTTTAGGTTAGGTTATGTTTAGGTTAGGTTATGTTTAGGTTAGGTTATATTTAGGTTAGGTTATATTTAGGTTAGGTTATATTTAGGTTAGGTTTGATATTACAGTTAGTTGCACCAGCAGGAGAGGTGGTGGTCTGGTGTGGTCTCAGCAACAGTAGTACAGTAGGAAGAGGAGTGTGGGCAGCAGGTGGTGGTGAGGGCCGGAAGTGGATGGTCAGAGTGATGGTTGACCGCCCAGCACTGCCCGCTGTTGGATCACCTAAACCACCACCCACTAACCATTACCACCTCAACAACTAACCACCACTACCACCACCACCTACCTCTATTACCACCACCTACCACCCTCACAAACCATCACTACCACCACCCACAAACCACCACTACAATGACATGACCTTAACCTAACCTAACCCATTATACGGTTACTTCACGGTTAAGCAATATTATGGTCAAAAATTTGCGATTCCATTAAAACATATGACCTGAAGATTAAACAAACTAACCTAACCTAACCAAACCAAACCTAAACTTACATGACCTGACCTGACCTGACCCCCAGGTCAAGTTAGGGTGTGTAATAATCAGGTACTATAACTTAAATACGTAAACGGTGTTGGAAAATAATACAAACAATATTATATCTTTAACTCACACTTAACCTAACCTAACGTTATCTAATTCTTAACCAAATTCAAGGTAAAATGAATTTAATTTCAACATTTCTCAACTGATCCTTGCTATACTAACCTAACTCGACCATATGAAAGTTATTACAAGTTACCACAAGCAGTTTGATCAGAAGCAACATAACCTAACCTGTTTCCCAGAGTCCGGCTGTAAAAGGTTCACCTGTTGTTAATATTTGTGGACTATAAGTCTGGACCGACGGAACAACGGCCTCTCACTGGTGGAATGACTTAATGTATACCCAAAAAGATATCAGACGAACGTAACTTTTATACTTATTAAAATCGGTATGAAATATGACAGAAATTTGTTTAAATCAATGAAATCTTAGAATAAATAAAATTGTCTTTTAATAAGTGTAACATTAATATTATATAATTATTTACAATAATGATATTGTCATATCTATAGCTACTAAATCAACATTGTATTTATTAGAGAATTTAATTTGATGTTACTTCGGCAGTTAAGGGAGGATGATAGTTGAGCGATGCATACCTGCTGTCTCAGTAATTGACCACAACGGGAGCCAATTTACCTGTAAGGGTCGGCAGGTGTACGGGAATCTTTTGTGTTGGGTCGTTATGTGGCCATTTGCTGATAAAACTCAAGTGACATAAGACATGTGTTTTGTCTAAGGAATAAACGGACTTGCACAAGACTTGGCATCACCACCGCCAGGCCAGACCGGGACTTGAACCATAGAAAACGAGACACCAGAGAAAACGTAAAGCATTAGATAATAAGAGGGATAACAATGGTAGACTTGTACTGCAGCTGCTACACCTACCTAACTTCCTGCTAGATACTGTATAGTGAGCGAGACAGCTAGATAATAGAGGGATAAAGACACACACAAGATATATGGACAGTAATAGATATAGCCTACAGGTATTAGAGATCTAGACAAATCTATATATTAGGCACAATAGATATTACACTGTATATATATACTGAACTAACTTGGTTATTATACAATATCGTATTAGTTAAGAATGAGGGTATGAGGTAGTATGAGGTAGTGTGAGGTAGTATGAGGTAGTATAAGGTATGTGGTAGTATGAGGTATGAGGTAGTATGAGGTATGTGGTAGTGTGAGGTATGTGATGGAGCCCTGACTGGTGCACGGTACACTGACAGAGCCTTGACTGGTGCATGGTACACTGACAGAGCCCTGACTGGTGCATGGTACACTGATGGAGCCGACTGGTGCATGGTACACTGACAGAGCCCTGACTGGTGCATGGTACACTAACAGAGCCCTGACTGGTGCACGGTACACTAACAGAGCCCTGACTGGTGCACGGTGTACTGACAGAGCCTTGACTGGTGCATGGTACACTGACAGAGCCCTGACTGGTGCATGGTACACTGATGGAGCCGACTGGTGCACGGTACACTGACAGAGCCCTGACTGAGAACATGACGGGCAGTAGCGTAAAGGTAGGGGTGGGTGGTAGAGGAGGATTGACAATATAACGGTCAGGCACGGGTAGGAGGGAGGGAGCCCTGTCTGCCTCTACTACTATCACCATCTTACCTGATATCATACAGTATGTCATAGTGCCGACTCCTAAAAACTGCCTCGGAGTTGACCACACAGTCTTCTCACACAGTCATGTTAAGCTCAGGTGATGTTACTGTCTCCCCTGAGCACTGTAGTCCTACCTACTGTGGGAAACAGTACAGTATAAGGGCTGTTAGCAGAGCACTGTACTGTACTGTACATTAAAAAAATTTGAAAATGTCAAGAATAAATTTTTATATTGCAAAGCAGCGCATAAATCTTTATCTGTACTGTACAATGACAAAGAAACTCCTTGTTGGTTTTCTAGTAATAAATCACCTTTGTTAATGTTGTTTATTTACTAAATGGTACATTAACAGATTCTACAAGGACCTGCTCATAAATTACTAAAGAAAATATATAAATATATATCATTAACTACACTACTAACACATAATGTATTTATTTATTTTTTTTAAGAAAAAAACCAACAATTACAAGTCTACCATGGTAACCTCTATACTGTACCCGTATTCTAACACTACAGTACCACTTGGTACAGTCTGGAGTGTAACAGTTAAGAGAGTGAGAGTGTGTGTGTGTGTGTGTGTGTGTGTGTGTGTGTGTGTGTGTGCTTTATATGCAGATAATATTTCTGCATGGAAAAAGGAGAGGAGAGTAGAGACAAGACTATGCTGTAGGTCGTGAAGACACATCTCCACATCTGTCTCTATCTCTCTTTCTTTGGTTTTGAGTTACGTATACATAAACTATCTATACATGTGCTGTATAGTTATACATAAACTATCTATACATGTGCTGTATAGTTATACATAAACTATCTATACATGTGCTGTATAGTTATACATAAACTATCTATACATGTGCTGTATAGTTATACATAAACTATCTATACATGTGCTGTATAGTTATACATAAACTATCTATACATGTGCTGTATAGTTATACATAAACTATCTATACATGTGCTGTATAGTTATACATAAACTATCTATACATGTGCTGTATAGTTATACATAAACTATCTATACATGTGCTGTATATCTAATTAGTCTTTGTTTTTGCGACCCATTGTGAGCTGAGGAAATGATGTTTTGCTTGGCTGTGGATTGAGGCGAGAAGCAAGGTTCATGATGGGCTCCAGCAGAAGGGTACGATCTTGAACGTTCACTTCCCACAGTCGCAGTTTTTCTGCAGTGGCCCATCGCTCTGCCGTGGCTGTGTCGACTGCACGGTTAGTAGCTGCTATATCACTCTTGTTGCCCAAGACAATAATTGGTACCTGTGGTGAATGTTAATAAACAGCTACTGAAGAAGACAGCAAGAGTAACAAAGATGTCTCCCTACCTCACATACCACCACCAAGGAAATCATCAATTATTTCCTCATGAGATCCAAAATACTAAACGTACTCAGGTTTACTAAAGTTACTCTACATATTCAACTACCAAAAGACTCTACATACAGTACACTGCACAGTTAACTTGAACTACCTGTTGTAGCTCACTGACTACAGTAGTTATGTAAGTGACGCTACATATGACTCTCACTGTAAACAAGAACACTTACATCTTTTTTATCACGATGTCGGTCTATGTCCTTCTTTATATCTGTTAATAGTTGAAAGGAAAGGTTATCACTGATGGAGTACACGATGATGTAGCCATCAGCTAGTGCATGATAATGTTGGGGAAGGGAACGGTTGCGGGCGTCCAGGCCAGCCGTGTCATAAAAGCGCAGCTTCTCTCGAGTGCCGCGCTCTGTCTCTACAATCCCAACATACGTATCTTCCACTGTTGGGATGTATTGCTGTTGTAAAGAAACAATGAGGAGTTGGGAAGTATATAATACATTCTAATTTGTGAATATTATTATTTCTCATCATTATTTTGAACACTGTACATTAACACTCTTGGGGTTTTCATATGCAAATTTGCATATGAATTAAAAAATTACACAAATTTTATATTTGCAAAGAGTATTAGATGCACAAGATGCACAGTCGGCAATGTTATTGTGATCTTACACCTATGTAGACTGCCTCCAAGGTTGAGTGAGAGGCCACAAGTTGCCCTCTGTGTTTCAATGTAACCTTGACCTACATTTCCCACCAATTTTCAGAGGTCGAAAATTGAGAGCATATTCTGAAAATGTCTTGAATAAAGACGAAAGCTCAAGAATTTTGGGGAGGGGCCAGACCTGACTTAATGTCAGGTGGAGGTAGGGTGGGGGATTAGTGGTCTCATATTACTGACAATCAGATGGAATGTCAGGTCACCCACTGTTGGGTGGGGAATTAGTGGGTCTCATGACCTGAAGATGTCTTGAATAAACATAAAACCTAAGTAATTTAAAGAAATCGTGATAAGTTAAAGTGAGCAAAATTGTATCCCTTCAACATTACACTACATAACATTTTAAAATATGGAGTGAGAAAGCAGAAAGGTGTGGGTGATTAGAGAGATGAATGATTGTTGTCTTAATTACCATGTGTGTGTGTGTGTGTGTGTGTGTTTTAGCTTGCCAAGCACATTGTAGCATTTGAAGAAGTTGATGAAGAGTTTGTTCAGGAGTCAGGTGGTGAGGTGACAGGCCAAGACCCTTACACAACACACACATTAACAGCACTACTAAACCATTTTCTTATAACATTTGACTTTATAATTTATATTTTAAAATTAATTGATACATGATGGCTCGACTGGGATACAATTGCACTTAGACAACTGGTCAAAGAATAAACCAGGGCGTATGGAGACTCATTATACACTAGTGATGTAACAAAGCTTTGAAACTGCAACCACAACTTCTGAACAACCACATAAATTATCACAACCTGTTCTCAAATGTACTAAGTTAATTACTAAAGTTATTATGTATGGTCTTGTGTGCTAACATAATTATGTTTAAGTGCCGTCTGTTTCCCTACACAAGACTTTTTTGTGTCACTTGTAGTGCGATTGTGAATGTTGTTCCCCTCATCAACTGTGTGGGCGCTGGAGCTGCTGGGAGGCGGTGGCTGATAGGATGTCTGACGAAGGATGTCTTTAATTCATCGGGATTAATATCTTGAGTTGATGGCGGCTGACAAGTCGTAGGTCTATGGGTGCGGCCATGTCTGGGAGGCACGGGTTGACCCCGGGACGAGGCAGAACTTAGCTGCCACGTCACGGAGTGTAAATGCTTGTTTTGTTTTTAATACAAAAATGGCGTTCTTGGCACAAGCCGTGGTATGGTAACATCTTGTATGTGTCCGTAATTGTTGTCTCGGACATCTGATTTCCACCTGATAAATGAATATCGATGTATCCTGTGATTTGAGGAGTGTAAAAAGGTACAAAATTGATAAGAGATGAGAGGTAAGGTTGTGTCACTGACTCATGGAGTCATGATAACTGTGTGGGCCAGAGTAACCTGTACACCCAAATGTGGAGAGTAATAATAATTACTGTACACCAACAATCTTGCGACGGGTGTTTGAGAAGCGCTATGAAGTGTTAGTATAAGTACTGTAGTAATGTAACTGAAGTGCGGATGACAATCTTTGTTGTGTCACAGAATGTTACCAGTAACCTACAGTACTTTTGACTGAACAATGGTCCTGTTGACATGAATACTTGTTTAGCTAAAGTGGAAGTAAGGCCAAGTGGTCTTTGGAGTTTGTAACAGTATTAACGAAAATTTGGTCAAGTCTTGAGCGATCCCCAAGGAGTGGCTCAAAGGCAGAACTTAACTGCCACGTCGCGTGGGCAGAAAATATTTAAAATGTACCGCCATGACAAACAAATGCGTTATTTGCTCACCAGAGGCACCACCGTGGCTATTCACGCTCGCCCGCTCAGTCTTTCTGAGTGAGTGACAAGTAAGCAGCCGACTGCTGCAGATTAGGACTTCTAAGGTGAGTGTAAATGGGTTGGTAGTGACGTGAAGTGAAGAGAATGGAAAGCTTAATGGAAAAGATTTAATACTGTAACTAATATTTTTGGTTTGTTTGTTTATGTAGGTGTGGGATTGTCAAGTGAGGGTGGCAGTGTGGCGTAAGTTGCCGAGTCTGGTGTTCCTTAATATTGAAACAGCCTGTTGTTCCCGAGTCTAGTGTTCATTGGTGCTTTAGTTAGTAAGAAAATAAACATTGTTAAGTCAAGTTTAGTCACTGTTATTGGCCTCCAGAACCTAACCCTATTTTCTCCATTGATTACAGGTGCTCCTCTACTTACGAACGAGTTACGTTCCTGAGGCTTGTTTGTAAGTCCAACTTTACTCTTGTAGATACCAAACATATTGTAAAAAATTAAAAGATTATGGATATTTAGTACAGCTATACCCTTTAATACAGCCTTAAAACCTGACTCACTCTTCATCTCTTAGGTAATGTTTGTTCTATCTGGAATCTTCTTCAAAATAATCCAGTCTCATCCACATTAAACACCTGTTCTGGCAGGTAACCCCCTTCAGTGATGATGTTTGTATCTCTGAAAGTTTGTAAGTTGAACGTTCTTAAGTATAGGAGCACCTGTACATGAAATTATATACTGTATCGTGATTTAGTATATAGCGAAAATCCTTGGACCCTATCTGGCAATACATCCTGAGCCTACTGTACCTTGATACCATGAAATCAAATTAATCCATGTGCCCCAGACCTTGCCATGCTACCACCTGTGCAAGATGATAATTAAATAATAAGTAAAATAACTAAGAACTAGATAACAGAAGGGGATTAAGAAAGAAAAATACTTTGAGAAGTTGCACTAGAAAATAAAATGGACAATAGTAGAAAGAATAGAATGAAAAGGACTAAAATAAATAAGAAATTAAAATACAGTGGTCCCTCGGTTAACATACGCCATCTACAATAGGATATCCCGTACACCATCTACAATAGGATATCCCGTACACCATCTACAATAGGATATCCCGTACGCCATCTACAATAGGATATCCCGTACACCATCTACAATAGGATATCCCGTACGCCATCTACAATAGGATATCCCATACGCCATCTACAATTTACTACTGTTGTTAAATATTGGTGGAGATTTGTGTTTCCTGTACTGTACCTTATCCACAGTGGAATTGGCAAAAATTGCTCTTTCAAGAATTGAGGTCTTGCCAGTCTCCTTGCCCCCAACAACAACCACACGACTTGTGCGCCCCATCACATTTCTCTGTAAATAAATTAAGACATACAGTACTTACTCTGCTGTACTAAACCTGAACTTCTTTTAATCTTGTACTGCACAAACATTATTTGTAGTTTATATTCTCACAAATTTCAATATTGTAACACGGGATAATACAAGATACTGTAAATACGTAAATAGACATGCAAATATAAAAATATTCAGCCCATTTTATGAAACTTCTAAAGAGGTTATTTTATGCACTACACCAGCACCACAGTTCTGCCAGATTGATGACAATATAAAAGGCACACATGCTGTGGAAGATAAATGCAATATCATTTATTCAAAATTCACTAAAGAGTATTTTGAACAATGTGGCAGCATGTACAGTCATGTGTAAAGAAGAGTTAACATTCTTTGACAAATAAAACAAAAGCTAAACATAAAATTAATTTAACAATAGGTATAAAACACAAGTACAATACAATATACCCTTCTCATGTAGAGTATAAGAGCCAAACAAAACTGTAAGTTGACCATACAATATTATCCTCTTGTGTCACTCCTGCCTGTAACATGACAGCATCAACCCCAGCAGAGATGAAGCCCTTCTAATTCCAAGCCATGCATCACCTATAACTCTTCCTTTACCACAACAATACCTCGGATGTATTCTTAGGCAGCGTACCACCTACTGTATACGCTCACCATACCAATAGTTGAAATAACAAAATTAAACAATAAAATCACATCTACACCAGCAGCATGCCCTAACAGATACGGAAATCTATTGAGAAACACACACACACACACACACACCATATCTTGAACAATATAGCAGAGGGCAGCACAAATTGAAATCTCTAAATACTGTCAATATCATATGATGCATTCCATGTTATGTGCCAACTACAGTACAGCACTGATTTCACTGATGTTCCTGTGTACGTGTGTAGTTCCTGGCTGACAGACACACACACAATAGGAGTCAAACTAAATAACAGCACTCCTCCATGACTACAAAAATATAAATATTAAATAAAAGCATTTATATTTCCATTCACAAGTCGTTGTAAGTATAGTACACATTAAAAAGAACAAATCTGGTTGAAAAATAACATCATATCTGAGGTAACATCTAAAACCTTATTAATGTTTCTCAATCCAAGTCTTGCTCACAGAGTACACTGGCATGACAGCTGCAGGTAAAGAAAACAACAATATTGGGAAAAAAATAAAGATGGCGGCCAAAAAAAAAAAAAAAGGGGTATAAATAAGCCATGACAGGGGGAGGCGGTACAGTGTGTCTGGTCAATCAGAGAGCCATGTAAGCATACCTGACCGACCACAGCACACAAGAGGCCACCATCAAGTATTCCCCGCCAGTTCCCTAGTACCCCACAGTCGACGCAGTGTTCGCGACTTCGCCAGGGGTCTTTCGTGTGTTTATCGTCACGAGGTTTCCTAAACATCCCTCAGCAACCTGCTATCTCTCGGCTATGCTGGAGAGGAAGACACTTGTTCTCTCTATTGTAAAAAAAATTTCTGAACAAGTTAAGGAATGGGAAATTATATCTAAAAAAAAAAAAAAAAAAAAAATCTGAACCGAGGAAAAATTGGACACTGAAATTTAGCCAAGTTTTGGGGTAAGGTAATTTTATTTACTCAAGTGATTTTTATAGTTCATTATCATCATCATGTTTGGAATAAAATATCAGGAGATTACTGTACCTATGAGGGAAATTATCAGTAACACCACGCAACACTTGTACTGTACTAAATGATGTTTGTATGGAAGCCAGATATGAGGAAACACTGTAGCCAGATATGGGGGGACATTGTAGCCAGATACAGGGGAACATTAGCCAGATATAGGGAAGCACTGTAGCCAAATATGGGGAACACTGTAGCCAAATATGAGGAACACTGTAGCCAAATATACGGGAACTGTGGTTTGGTTAGATTGGGTTGGATTAGAGTGGGGTTGGATTAGAGTGGGGTTGGGTGGGCTGAATTAGTTTGGCTTTGGTTAGGTTAGGACAGATCTGGTTTGGTTAGGTTGGGTTGGCTTAGGCTGGGTTATGTTAGGACAGATAAGATTAGGTTAGGTGAGATTAGGTTAGGTTAAGTTAGGTTAGGTTTGTCTATTCTTGCAACACAAAACACGGCTCTGGAGGACACTGAGAATAGGTGTGGCTTATAAGCAGTAAGCAAAGAAGTGATTCACTGTACTGTACCGTCCTCACCTCAACAAACGCTCACTAATTATCTAGCTTTTCAACGATAGTAAATTGCCCTCTTATATTTTTCACCCTGGACATAATGGGTGGCATTCTTAGTACAGTATTGTGGACAAAAGGGGTGGGTGGTATTCCTAGCTTTGTGGATATGGGTGGTATTCCTAGCTTTGTGGATATGGGTGGTATTCCTAGCTTTGTGGACATGGGTGGTATTCCTAGCTTTCTGGACATGGGGGGGTAAGTGACATTCCCAGAACTACCCCGTGAAAATTCTAATCTGAACCTTTGTTGATTTTTAAATTTCCTTCCACTCTCCCGGTACAATGAATCACATGCTGATGAAGAGCGAATGTGTCTAATGATAATAAACACTGTAGATGTCCTTAACTTTATCTTTGCCAGCTTATGTCTCTCAAGTCACCTAGGAGGAGTAGCTATAGGAATAAAAATAAGAGGGGATACTGTATTAAGTTTAAATATGCAACTAACATATGTGCTGTATATCTGCTAATACCAGAACATCCCCAAAACAGCTAAACCTTCCATAGTAGAAATTTGCTTCTAGTGGATGAAGAACAATACTCTCCTGTTGTTTACTAATAATAAACCATATAGTAAAACCCACTGGAGAGTGACTAACGGTAAATGAGTGTTTTGTTAAGCATACAGTACATGATGGAGGGTTCCCGATTGGTTGGACAGGACCCCCTAGGATTGATTACAGTATGAGGCCAATAATGATTGTGCCAGTAATTCTCCACTTTACCACAGAGCATATTTATTGCACCTTCACAAAAATACAAGTAACATGATCCCCTAAAAAACATGTTCTATTGTTGGGTGTTTTGGCAGCCCCTAAATCAGCTCCACAGAGGAAAAGTTTGGTGAGAGAGGGTTATAAGGACAGGAATTTTTTTCTCAAAATTTAACATATTAACAACAAAAGACAACAAGTATATAGTTTAACTACAATAAGTCTGGTGTTGGGTTCAGTCCCTGACAAACATTAGCTACCTCAAGAGTCATTACTGAACTGTATTGGTGTAATGAGGCAAGGTTTGCTTACATTCTGGCAACACAATCATATCTAACCTAACCTTGTGTGTTTAGAAATATTGTACATTATTTAATTTGACTTTAACTGCTGTCAAGGTTAAAGTGCAATGAACCTCACTAATCAAAAAGTATTGTCTACCAACTATTTTGTCCGATGAATCTTACCAAAATTCAGTATCAGAGAATGTTCTTATATTTACCAATACTAAAGGTCTAACAGGAAGACTTTTACAGTAGTTATAATGTACACTACTTTACATATACTGTAATAATGGTTGCCCCTCGTGTAACGAGGATGGCCAGCCCGAGGGCCTCCTAGGCGTGAATTTGTTTAAGGCATAGAAGCTGTCGCCCTTATAACAACCACACCCTGAGTTAACGAGCTGCATGACCCAAAGTCAAGGAATAGTCCGAGAAGACCGGACAACTCGCCAACCGCACTGGCAAACCAATACCCCAGAATACGATTCGCACATCCAGGTCCCCAATTACTGCTGGGTAGACAGAAGCAAATGGCATAAAGAAACTACTTTACATACAAGTTACTCACTGTACATAGTTTGAAGGACCTTGTACAGTACACAGCTTGAGGTAGGGTGACCATACACACACTGACCTAAAGCCACCTGTACAAACTACACAAGTTTATACAGTACTGTACAGGTACATGTAAATACAGTATATTGTGAGTATGACCTACAGCTACCTATAAATTATTCACAGTTTTTTCTGCACACAAGTAAAGTGCATTACTCCTGCTGCTTTTACTCTTCCTCTTCTTTAGCATCCTTCACACTTAAGTGATTGTCACCTGAGCACTGTAAGATACTAACACTGTACTGTACAGTCATGTCAGCTCACTTAAAACTAAGATACAGTATTAATAATTAGTGTCAGTTTCAATTCACTTAGTACTGTACAGTTTAATGACCACAAACATTTACAAATTACTGTACATAGATATAAATATATAAGAGCTTAAATAAAAACCGTGTATGTTTTATGGTCCACAAAAAATATAAAACCAGAACATTTAAAAAAATAAATAAATCCCAACCAATGTGTGTCCTCAGATATTATTATATAAGATTAAAGTTTTAACCTCCTGGCATCTATTTCCTCTACATTTAACAAACCAGTTTCCCTTTACTCAGAAATTCCCATAAATATAAGACTTTGGGTGAAACTTTTGAAACTTATTTTTTAACCCAAACTTACAAGTGGTTTATAAACCACATTCATTATCATGCAAAGATTAACCACCACAGCTTGTTTCACCTGAAGATTAACCACCCAATTGCTAACCTAACCCCCAAATACCATTAGGGTGGTTAATCTTAAGGAGTAATAAGCTGGGGTAGAGATACTTCATGTGATTTTAAATATCTTTAAAAACTATTGAATAAACCAAATTTATTTCACATTATATAATTCACTTAATGTCATAACATCATTTTTTAAATTAAATAACGACAGTTGTATATGTTCTTCTTAAATATGACATAACATATAAAGTCAAATAATATTAGTTACCATGAGAATAACAATGTTCATTTGCATACAGTATTAGTTCAGCCTCCCCAGGCCTTCACACACTCGTCCCTCACTAAACACAGATGAATACCTTCACTAAATCCCCAAGGACTACGGGCCAACTATCTTACCATACAACAAGACGGTGAAGATCAGTAATAAGACTGATAAAAATGTGTTAAAGGTCGATTATTACTTCACATCCTCCCTCAGTGGTCACCTCACAGCCACAGGTGACAGGTCCCTCTCCCTCAATACTGTCACAGAAAACGGACCAAAACAAAACTAATTCACCGTTAACTAAAACTAATTCACCGTTAACTACAACTAAATCATTATTAACTACAACTAAATCATCATTAACTACAACTACTTCATCGTTAACTACAACTAAATCATCATTAACTATAACTAAATCATCATTAACTATAACTACTTCATCGTTAACTACAACTAAATCATCATTAACTATAACTAAATCATCATTAACTACAACTACTTCATCGTTAACTACAACTAAATCATCATTAACTATAACTAAATCATCATTAACTACAACTACTTCATCGTTAACTACAACTAAATCATCATTAACTATAACTAAATCATCATTAACTACAACTACTTCATCGTTAACTACAACTAAATCATCATTAACTATAACTAAATCATCATTAACTACAACTACTTCATCGTTAACTACAACTAAATCATCATTAACTATAACTAAATCATCATTAACTACAACTACTTCATCGTTAACTACAACTAAATCATCATTAACTATAACTAAATCATCATTAACTACAACTACTTCATCGTTAACTACAACTAAATCATCATTAACTATAACTAAATCATCATTAACTACAACTACTTCATCGTTAACTACAACTAAATCATCATTAACTATAACTAAATCATCATTAACTACAACTACTTCATCGTTAACTACAACTAAATCATCATTAACTATAACTAAATCATCATTAACTACAAAGGCCAAAGGCTTCCAGATGTCTCCAGCAGTGTTCCAAGAATCTTGAAGGAGACTGTACAGTACCTGACCTTCATCCAAACCCCTGCCTTCCCCTCCATCTCTCCTTCTCGTTATATTTTCCTTGTGTCATTTTAGTCCTACAGCTCAGAGAAACAGCAATACACTTCCATAAACTTGATAAAATTAAAAAGTTTCTCTGCCATTCTCCCACCAATGTCACCCCTTCCCTAGTGCCAGCTTGTCTTTAAAACACCCCGTATTAACAAACAAGTAAAATATTTCTCTAGTTCCTTATATTAAACGTAAATTCTAGTATTAATTCCACTGGTTAATAACGCAGATTTTGGTATTTTATTTGGAATATTTATATTTTAAATTACTTCTAAATCCGTGATAAAATTTAGGAGTTTATATAGAGGGAAAAAATTGGAATTTAGAGTCAGTTATCCGGCGACTGTGAGGGGAGAGTAGATTGACCTGTGAGGGGAGAGTAGATTGACCTGTGAGGGGAGAGTAGATTGACCTGTGAGGAGAGAGATGTATCGTTTTAATGGACTCTTCCGTGATCCCAGGAAGCATAAACCTGCATGGACGGGTGAAATAAGGCTAGATACTTCACATTTTTTGCCTCTTTTGGGATACAGCACTAAGATGAATGTAAAATATACTATGGTGGTTTTTGTAGTTTAAGAAATACTGTATAGATCTTGATATTGAGTTAAAAGTTTTGAGATAAAAATTGAGCATCGATGTAGATTATTTTGTGTATTTTAGGTTTGTTGTGTAAAGTGTATTAGTTTTAGGCTGGATTAGGTCTGATTAGCCCTATTCTGGTTAGGTTAGGTGTGGTTAGGTTAGGTATGGTTAGGTTTCGTTAGTTGTGTATGATTGGGGTATTTGAGTTTGTGGAAGTATCAGTACTGTATCGTCACTATACCACTGCTGCATCATTATTACAGGAGGATATTACACTTACAAGACGCAACGTGACCCACGCTGTCAACAGGAAAATTAGCTACATTGAGAGCGCTTACTCCCACAACTGTGAGAAGGTGATAGGCCAGATATATGAGAAGGCTTGGCTAAGAGGCTACAAGAGGAGGCAGTTCTTCGTTTCTAGTAAGGTGTGTGTGTGTGTGTGTGTGTGTGTGTGTGTGTGTGTGTGTGTGTATGAACACTTTCTCAGGTGCACACTAGCCATGGCCTTAACAAACTTAATATTTTTGTTTCAGGTGCCCATGATAGGATACGAGGGACATCTTGCGAGTAAATTTATGAAATTGTCAAGGAGAAACCTCGGCGTACAAGAGATGGATGCCTGCTTCGTGGAGGGGCCTGTGGGCTTACAAGGTGAGTGTGTGTGTGTGTGTGTTTGTGTGTGTGTGTGTTTGTGTGTATGTGTGTGTGTGTCTTCAGCTGTAGGGAACTGAAATTATTTACAAAGCTGCACGTATATCGAGCAGTGGTCCTCCCCACCCTGCTATATGGCAGCGAGACATGGCTCACATATAGGAGGCACCTTAAGGCACTTGAAAACTTTCACAAACTTAGTCTACGTTCCATCCTCCGAGTATTCTTGCTAACACCAACTGTAGGAGCATCGAGGCTACCATTATCCATGAACAACTACGTTGGACTGGCCATGTTACCCGCATGGACAACAGTAAACTGCCAAAGCAGCCACTTTGCAGTCACCTAATGAATAGTAAACGTAACACCAGCGGGCAACTGAAAAGTATAAGGATAGTCTTAAGACAAACCTGAAAAAGTGCCAAATCGACCCCCTCACCTGGGAGACGATTACTCCACATCGTAACGCTTGGAGGATCACCACACGAGAAGGTGTCAATAATTTCGAATTAGCCCGACTGCAAACCGAGGCAGACAAGCGCCAACGCCGGAAAGACGCTGCCACCGCCCCTCCCGCACTAGATGTAGCCCTCCCCGTATCGGCCTCTTTAGTCACCTCAAAATTCACCAATGAAGGTGACATCCCCAATAACTCATATCATTGTATCATAGCTTGATGATCGTCATACTTGATTCCGAGTGACAGCAAAGTAGTAGTACTAGTAGTAGTAGTAGTAGTAGTAGTAGTAGTAGTAGTAGTAGTAGTAGTAGTAGTAGTAGTATGTGTGTGTGTGTGTGTGTGCAATGGGGCGGATGCAGGGGGTCCTGGGGGTCTGGATTCCCCTTTTCATCAGAAAATTCCAATACTGTTCTTTAATGCAGTATTGTACTCTGGTGTTTTTGTATAGTAAAAAGTAATTACTATTGACCTCAGAATATATCCTAATACCAAGTAGTTATGGCTTTAAAATGGACTGGCCACGTTCCCCCACCTACAACTTCTTTTGATATTCCTGGATCCGTCCATATGTACTGTGCAGTATATATGCACACATGTAACTATAGGTACAGTACCATGTATACGCATCTACATATAAAGGTACTGTAGTTGTACACATAGGGGTTCAGGTACAGTTCAGATGAGACTTCAGGTATCATCTGATCTGTGATAGGGAAACCCTAACATAAGTTGAATTAATGTAAATCCAGAGTTTTTTAACATATTCAATGGGATAAATTCCTGGCCTGTCTGACACATGTATCACAGACAAAGTTAACCTTCAGTAACTAAATAAATAAATAAAAACTTCTCACCACATTCATAATAAGAAGCTCACTGTATAACAATATCTTACTTGGTCTCCAGAGACATAGTCTTCCTAGAAGCCTTGCCTTTCCCAGAGATGGGAGACTCGGCAGGACGCTTGTTAGCCAAAGTTACAGAGTTACTGTACACTGATCACTTCAGTCACCAAAGCAGAGCAAAATATGAATGATAGTGTTTTCCAATCACCAATAATAGCAAATATCACAGCGATAAATAACAATACCATTGGTTACATGAGTGAGGGCAGGTGTGATCACGTTACAACAAAGCACAGAAATGAGATTTGCAGGGTGGCCATCAGGCGGCGCTTGGGTAGGTGAACTGCTCAGATGATGGGAAAGTAGTTTTGTGGTAAATGGCCATCATGGGAGTGATAAGTGAAGGGAGAGAGACACTTCCCCAATCTTTACATTCTGCATCAGAGAGTTTAGCCTCCCGACAACTATCGTAATGTGGAATTTGCCTATCGTTAAGCGCAAGATGTGTGCTAAAACCTGACTAACGTTAACGTAGATTATCATAAATCGGGGGAAACCTGTACAATAATGTATAGGCAAAGGTAAACATACAAATACAGGTGCATAATACTACTACACATACAAGTACTGATACACAGGTAAGTACAGACAGTTACAGATGCAACAAGTAGATATATACAGTAGTACATGTACAGCACAGTGACACATATAAGCACAAATACATAAAGTACAAGAACGATAGACTAACAAAAGCACTAATGGTTAATGAGATCTTTATTAAATAAGTCATCAGGTTATTTACCAACTAGATAATCCACTACTTGTTATGTTTTATCTACTGTACACAGGCAAGGACTTAAACGATGTTTGTCCAGTGAATGAGAAAGGAGAGTGTATCCTTGATGAGGGTAGTGACTTCATCCGTGTGTGGCGCACCATGGAGGACCAGGTCAGTTCTCACCACTTATTATTAGCTACTGTTTCTAAAGTACAGTACTGGAAATACATAGTTGAAGTGCTGTACCTGGGAAGTGAAGGAGCCTTTCTGTTGTATTAGTGACTGATGACTGATCTACAAAGGGACTCTTCACCACTATATCCCTCAGCCACTCACACCAGAGAATGTGGTCAGTGTTTATTTTACATAATTACTGTACACTGTACTTTATCCTCTCTGTCACTTGTCAGCTTACTAGCCAGTTCTGTAATGAAAAGTCATGAACTCAAGGCTGTGGGGTGGCTGTCTGCTAACTCAAAATATCTCCACATGTCTTGAGCACAGTACAGTACAGTACAGTAATATCACGTTTAAATTGTCCCTTGGCCTTCTGTAGTATAAACGAAGCATTTGTATACATTTTCACCTCTTGGTAAGTGAGGTGTGTGTGTGAGTGCTAGCATCAGTTTGGTCCTCCTCTGGATGTTCCCAGTCAATTGGCAGTGCAGACTGAATGGACTCTTTTATATTAATGTTCTTCTTGTGATGTATGTTTATCTGCTCTCATATTATTATAAATACTTAAATAGGTTTGTAGTATTCACACTGGTATTCACAGTAATGGAAGGCTCCTTTGTGGTCACATGTTCTTCAGTGAACTAAATGATAAAAGTTTATATTTATATTAATGTTTACATTTGTCAACAGTTCTTGCTGAACCACACCAACTTCATTGGTCTCTGTAACTTCAACATCGACCAAATAAACACAATATGTCAATGTAAGTTGCTGCTTTTGTTGTTCTCATGAAAGACTAAGGATTTTATTCAGCTGAGGGAGCCCTTAGCAGCTAGGTGGCTAATGTGATAATACACTGTATGTCTTCGTCTTAAATTTCAGAATGTGAATTGTGTGTTGTAAGAATGTGGAACAATGAGTCACTGGTGCACATACAACAATGGGGGGAAAGTAAAATCTTTCTTTAAAAAATTTAAATCGAAGCTATTTTTGTAAATACATTTTCACCTACTGCACTTTAACCTCTTCTACAGTACTACCACAGTGAGACAGTGTACAGCAACTGGTTAAAGCTTTTCTAATAGAATTGAAAGTGAGTTCTTCTAACCTTACATTATACTGTACAGCACTAACATATTGAGAGATAGATAGATGTGTGTGTGTGTGTGTGTTGTACATGCCAAAGTTAAAAAAAGTAAAGTAATATATTCACATATATTTTGTTACCACGTTATTAAGGCTTTAAGAAACTGTTTATTTATATTGCTATACTGTTCCTCAGGGGCCAGGTTCCCACCACACATGGTTCAGATGGACATCAATGTATACAACATGCGCAAGGAAGAGAGGAGGATACTCAGGGAATGGCGTATCAAGATTATAGCTACACACATCTTTGGCTCTCCCACCTTCATCCCCACGTGAGTCTTATTTACTGTAATTAGCACTGATGTTACACTCTCCACATGAGTCTTATAACACCAGTATACAACACTCCCCCACATGAGTCTTATAACACCAGTATACAACACTCCCCCACATGAGTCTTATAACACCAGTATACAACACTCCCCCACATGAGTCTTATAACACTCCCCCACACGAGTCTTACAACACTCCCCCACATGAGTCTTATAACACCAGTATACAACACTCCCCCACATGAGTCTTATAACACCAGTATACAACACTCCCCCACATGAGTCTTATAACACCAGTATGATGCCCTTCACACCTTGTAATCATCCAGCAAGTCCTGTCCTGTACTGTACCCTGTCATGCATAACCACGTACTTAAACGCACAGAAGTGGTTCCCAGTGAAGGAGAACAGCACTGTGCTCCCTCTGCCTCACTCATAAACAGTTTTAGTTAAGTACAGCAGGTATTATAGTGTACCCTCCTAAGGTTTATATACTGTACCCCCAGTATTACCCCTCAACATCCTTCAGGAGTCACAAAACATCTTCACGTTACATACACACACTAATACATTACGTACGTACAACTGGTCTCTCTTCACTAACACAGTTCAGTATAACTAAGTGTTGTTTGGACAGTTGTTAATACTCTCTATCAGTGACTGTTCTATAGACGCTGCATTTCATCTTCATCTATTTGCTTACTCTTCGTCTTGAATTTTTAAGTTACGCTTTGTTTACTGGAGCAATACCCAGATCACGCAAATGTATACTTAATGGCTCCATAACTAAGGTCAGGGGTCAGTTGGGTATTTATCTTGTTAAGGATAAATCTTTAACATTATCCCCATCTTGTTCTGGGTACTGAACTAGTTAGTATCTTTCAACTTTTTACTTTTATCCCCTTCATCACTGATTGGCTCGTTAGCCACTTGGGTGGTCGGTCACGTCTCTGTGTTTCTTTCAGGAAGGACCGCCCAGTGTTGAGGAAACATCCCACAGTGATGAAGCTTGCCTCTGACCATGGAGTGGTGGCCAATGTCATATTAGTGAAGTTCCTCACCCAGCAGAATATTGTCTGCATGCTCCCTGGTTGTTCCAGAGATGAACAGGACCAGATCTATGCTGTATGTACCTCCTGGCTAATGTAGTTCTGTGTTTCTTTGCATTGTACTGTGAAACCTCATTCTAACAAACGATATAAAGAGGGAAGTCCAATTATATCGAGAGTTCGCTAGATGTGAAACACCCCATCTAATGGATTATTCGGAGAAACAAGTCCGTTATATAAAGGTTTCACTGTACTAAATAATAGTAGTTTTTATCCCAAAGTGACTGATATTTCCATGTTGAGGTCATCATCAGGTCAGAGTGCACCTGACCTCATTCAATAAAACAGCCAAAGAGGTGGGTAGAAACTGACTCACCTTGGGTTTCGGAGAAGTGTCCTAGCATAGATCAGAAACTTTCTGCATGACCGCAAATAGTGTGTGGTGATAAATGGTACAAAATCGTCATGCGTATCTGTGATTAGCGGGGTACCACACTACCACAGGGCAGTGTATTGGGCTCGTTGTTGTTTGTACGTTTCATTAATGACATGACTGAAGCTATACACTCCTCCATACAAATGTTTGCAGACGATGCTGAGTTATTTAGGGAAATTAAGAAGTAAACAGACTGTGAAGAGCTGCAGAAAGATCTCTATGAGCTTCAAGAATGGTCGAGGAAATGGCTGCTAAGATTCAATGTTACAAAGTGCAAAAGGATGCACCTGGGTCGCACAAATAGTAAGGAGGCATATCACATGTTCCAACAGGACAAAGAGACTGCATTAATTGAGACCGAATGTGAAAAACTAGGTGTGTATGTTAATAATGAACTTAAGTTCTTGGGCCATTGTGAGAAGAAGGTGAATCAGGCAACAAAACTAGTAGGTCTTATAAGACGGTCATTTAGATATCTGGATGGTCCATCACTCATCACGATCTTCATGATTAAAAATGTCATCATGATCTTCTGATTAAAAATGTCCAACGGAGGGCCTTCAGACTGGTACCTACTCTACTGAACCTCAGTAACCCAGAGAAACTGAGTGTCTGCAACTACCTAGCTTATACTACAGAAGGGCGAGGGGTGTCCTAATCGAAGTGTATAGACACCTCAGGGGGCACTACTCAGTCGAATGTACATACCTGGAGCTAGCAGAGATCCGCCCCACAAGGAGTCACACCCTATGGGAAAAAGGCCTACTGTATACTGCACCTTTTTTTTTTTTTTTTACTGAAATCTGCCAGTGTCTGTCACTCTGATGTCAGTTTAAAGTGTAATGTTGAGGATAATAATTTATCCCTCAGCGAAGGATCCGTTTTTGTTCAGGAGCAGATCCAGGGGAGGTGTCCTGGGGGTTTGGACCCACTACCCCCCTTATCATCAGAAAATTCCAATACATTTTCTTTAATGCAGTAATGTACTCAGGCATTTTTGTTAAGTAAGAAGTAATTACTACTGACTTTAGAATACTTCTTAATATCAAGTGTACATGGCTTCGAAATGATCTCAAAATACCCATAATATTGGTCAGATTTAAAAAAAAAAATATGGGGGCTTACAGCACCTCCCCCCAAGCTGGGTGGGCTTGCTGTGTTTGCCATGTTCCTCCAACCACAACTTCTTAGACCCCCCCCCTTTTGATATTCCTGGATCTGCCTCTGTTGTTGCTGTAATGGAGGATATGTTGGGCATTATATCTTTACCTTGATAAATATTCCTATCAACTTTCATCAACTTCTAAATTTAAAGGTTCATATCCCCTGTGTGTGTGTGTGTGTGTGTGTGTGAACATAAGAACTTTAGAAACATTAAAGAATTCGGATGTGTCAGGAAGTTTACCTCCCCAACTCACCTCTATAAGTTGTGTTCATGAATTAAAGCTATGACAATGGTTTCCTGGACTTGAGGCACATTATGAACATGTTCTCTATAAACACTCATGCACACACACACAAACATATTACCAAGCTAACTCCGAGGTAATGATGTTACTTCCCTCATGTCTTATTACACTTACTGTTGTGACACCTGTATACAGTACTTGTGTTAAGAAGAAAGCAGTGCAGTAGGTAGGTAAGCCTTCCTCACAAGGATATTTGTTGTTTTGCCTGTTTTTCTTCTTAGCGACACAGTTTGTCCAATAAATAGCTTAAGAATGTTAGGAAGAGGTCAGTTTACTCTTACTGTATATATCAAAGAGCTTGAGACTTACCATAGATCTGAAGGTAGGAGGAGCGGAGCTGGGGTGGATGAAGGAGTAAGAGTCGAGTCCCTGGAGAAATAGAGACTGGGAGGATTAATTAAGACAGGCCATGGTGACCAGCCTCTAGATCTGTGAATGGATGGCATCTACATTAATCTATTATTCTTGGTCACTCTTTTTAAGTCCAGTGAAAGGTTGGAGGTTGTCCTTTTGTGCACTGATTCTCCCCCCTCCCTGTCCCCCAGGGCATTCTTAGCCAAATATTTTTGTTTTTGCTGTATTTTGGAAAATACTCTAACAGGTCTATGTATATTGTGAAGTGCTGAACATGGAAAAATAACGAAAAAAAAAATCTATACTCACCCTGTGGCATATGGCAGAACTGTTAGGTGTTGTAGGGCTGGCTGAAGGGGAGGGAGGGTCCTGAAGGAGGGCGAGTCCTGGAGATGCATGCGTGAGCAGACTGAAAGCGCCGCTACAAAATCACGAGCAGGCGCCTCACGAATTGTGGCCAATCAAGTCACACCTTCCACCAGAAACAAATCTTGCCATTTTCATTAAAAAATCCCAATTAAGGAAAAATCAAATGAAGGCTTTAGTGTGTAAGAGACAGGCATGCATAGTTCTCATACAAAGGTTAAAGCAGTGGTTAGGGAGATAGTGGTAGTAGTAGAGCTGGGCCACTCTGTCTCAGTCAGTACTGGTCAAACAAATCTAAAAGAATGGGCTAGAAAGTTCAAGTGGTATTTGTTATTATTTATGGCAACTGTAGTTTTTATGATGATGACACATTAATGACGAGCATCATGGATAAATAGATGAAAATTTAAAGAGAGAAGCATAATGGAACTTCCTCTACAGTATTATTATTATTAATGGCCACTCTAGCATAGTAAGAATGAGCTGACAAAGGTGCATCATTATATTAACCAGCTGTGTCTTGTTATGTACTGTACAGTATTTTTTATTCTTCCAGGTAAAACTTTCTTGTACTTTACATATCTAGATAGATACAGGGGTATTTATAATATTAATTAGGATAAAAGATAATTGAAATTTCAATATATCGGATAGGCCTTAATTCCCACCCCAAATAGTCTGATATACGTAGTGAGGTTCTATTAGTTTGAGACAGTAATCCTGACGTATTTTCAGAATATCACAAAGTTCCAGCTGAGTTACGAGGAAATGGTGATGCTCAACAAGCTGGACACAGAGGGTGCTGCGAGACTCATGGATTTCCCTGACTACAAAGGGTAACATTAAAGAACCACCTCTTATTATATCACAGTGCGAGAGAGTAAACAGTTAACCTCAGACGTACAGTATTATATAGCATTAACCATAGAGGAGCCTTTTAAACCTTGGATATACTGTAGCTTATTGAAGCTTTTTCATCATTGGTGAAGGAATGTTGATCAAACACACACACTACTGTATAAGGTCGTGTTTTCTTTCATGTATTTTCTTATTAATTTATCCCATTGTGGTTAACGTTTAAACTCTTCTACCTTTTTCCTTCATTCTTTTTCTTATTTCATCCAGTATAAATAGTAGTTATAGTTTAGTTATGTTACTTCATAACCTCTGACCTTTGGTAGCGTGGCTCGAGGGTTATGACACGTGGGTACATTGTAATTCTGGTATCAAACAATGGGAAAGAATGACGGGATATAACATACAAATAAAATGGTTTATTAGAATGAAGTTATATTTTATGAAAAAATTCAGTAATACTCAACAACAGGGGTCAACTCCCTGGCTTTACTTATTTTGTACTGTTAAACTTAGGTACATTCTCCACTTACACCATGACTGGGTGTACATTTACAAGAACACACAACAATACTCTTATATAGCACTTTTGAGCAGCATTAGGTTAAGTGGTGATGATGCCAGTTACAGTACCAACACTAATACTTTAACATCACCAGAATTAGTAGCTTCTCTCCTCTACTGTGATACATTTGCCAACAAGCAAAGTGGTGGTCAACCTATTCTTACTGACTCCAAACACTCAGACATTTCAGGTGAATACATACAGGTGTACTCGGAGGAATAACACAGCCACAACATAGCCCTACTGAATGGTGGACTCATCCCTAATAATCATGGGGCTGGTGGTGTTTGCTCGGCCTGTGAGATCAACAAGCTGGACAGTAAATGCATCAGGTGAACTGCTGGCCAGTTGACTAGGCCCCAGAGGAGGTGGTTAGTTCCTGACGCTCGTGTTCACGAATTTACCCGAGTGGGTGGAGGGGTTTCAGACGCTGGACTGTTTGTTGACATGAACGTCAACGTTTCAAAAGGACGCTAAGGGCGTAAGAATAGTTAACTTAAAACACATCAGTTACGTTACTGTATCACTTGCATATTAAAACTATTAACTCAGTCAAAATCACTTAATGTGGCGAGGTATAACATATAGCTGGACATTACATGTGGGTGGAGGAGTTTCAGAGGCTGGACTGAGGCCCAGGAGCGTCAGTGTCCCGCACTCCTCCTCCTTCGCCCAGCTCCGAGCTCCACTCACCCAACTATTTCAACGAACTCCGTCACTGTACACTTTGATGTGTGAAACGAGACTACGAACTTATTTCAGTTTTCTAAGATTCCCTTTTCAAACTACGCTCTGACTGAGCTGTCGAAGGCAAGAATTAAATTGATTTCAAGGTTCAGGATGGCAGTCCCTGATGGACGGAGCCTAAGACAAGCAGTATCAGGTTACCCCTGTCAGATTCTCAAAGATACCTGGTCTGACAGTTCCCTTCAGGTTAATTAATTACTTTCGTAATTGTAAGATTGTGAAATGGAGTACAGTACCATCGTACGATATGTTTTCCCATGGTTGAGGTGGGAGCTTGTCTGTGGCAGCGCCCAGTTGCGAGTCACCAGCTGACGCTGTGAGAATAAAGTCTACAAAGAACGTGGTCTATTGTTCAAACCTCTCACAGTAATTAACACCCTTACAACAATTTCACATATGAACATCAGATTCTCTGATGTTCATATGTGAAAAAGGTGACTTCAGCCTTGGTCAACAATCACTGATATCTCTAGGGCCGACGTCAATGATACCTCATTCTCACTGCAGATTCTACCCTGACTTATATTGACAATTATGCTAACAGTAAATACAATTGAAGCTTTCAACATCAGTCACAACGGATCTTGAATGCTTCATCTGCAATCAGACTGTCATGGTCACGTTGACTGCTAGTCTGTTTTAACACTAATGATTCTTATTATACTCCACGACCGCAGAACAGGAGAGGGTAGCTGGTTAGCTATCCCCTAGAAGAAGCGTGTTTTTCCCCGTCGACGCTTACACTCATGATCCCTCCCAGTAAATCCTGCCTTCGAACACAGTTTTCAATACGTTTTTTCCATTCTCTCCTGAAAAGCTCAATCTTGAATTAGTCTGTGTAAATCAACTCAAGTAATTTGCCAGACCTTTGTCAACTGAGGGTCATCTTTGAATGAGTAACAGTTAGTTTGTTTGTAATTTCCGTCATTGCGTAAGAAGCGATCGCTGGCAACTCACGAGTATATAAATCAGTGCGAGGAGGAGAAAGAGCCTCCCTCTCTCCTCACGTCAACTTCGTTGTCCTACAGAATCCAGGGTGTCCTCTGAACACCCCATCGGCTGCTGAGCCGGTGGGTAACCAGCAGGGATCAGTATATGCATTGATGTCGGTGATTCAACATGATTGAGACGGCAGGTCCGCCTTGTGAGCTAGACCCCAGACTCGCCATGTGTCTGGCTACCACCGATCACAGCAACGGTCGTGAGCCCCAGTGTACTACCCTGGGATGCTCCCTGGAAGTTATGGCCCGCAGTGTTTGATGTATATGCTTGGGGATAATTAATTGGAAATAATTATCCCATGTTGGGTAGTGGACCCTTGTATTTGTTGGTTTCAGTAATAACATGTTGTGTGTTGTGAGTGCATCTCACTGTCAACAGTTAGTGAAGTACCATCTGTAAGTTGGCCATGTATGTAATGAAATGTATCACCAGTAATGTGGGTGAAGTAAAAACCCACTGGGATTGGCGGTTGAGAGGAGCCAAGGAGTTGTCATGTAACTATGTATTGTGAGTAGGGCCAAGGAACTGGTCCTGCTATGTAATGTAAAGTAACACCAGTAAGGGTGTGAGTAATAAGAGTGTAATATCTGAGTAACTTGCAGAGGAGTAAAATTAAGAAAATAAGTGAATAAGAAAATACTGAGTTTGCAGTTGAGTAAGCGAGGAGTTGCACCTTGAAGTTATATGTTAATAATATCTCTTTTTCCCTTTGACTTCATATTAATAAACCTGTTCTTAGAGTATTTTAGGAGTATTCATTTTTCCCACATTAGTTCACCTTTATTTCCGTCCAAGTGACCCTGATATCAGAATTACAATACCCATGTGCCTTAGACCCTCGCCATGCTACCAAAAAGAACTAAGGTTATGCAGTAACCATTGAAGTAAGTAGAAAGAACAATTGAATTGAAGAACTAAGACAAGAGAAGTAAGAGTAAAAGATAAGGCAGAGTATGAGTAGAGAGAAACAACCGCCGTTACAAGGCATCTCTAAGTTGACGCACAGCAAGGGCGTTCTCTTACCAATTCAAATGCATGAACACCCTGTGCGGAATTTAGGAATACCTGAGTTTCTTCGGTAATGCGACATAGAAAACGCAGGACTCAGATCTCCTACAGTGGTTAGAGAACGAATGTTTCAACTGGGAGACTCAAAAGGTTTACAGGTTTTGTGGGCGTGGAACATAATATGAATTATTTGGTTTTAACAAACCAGCCATGTCATTTATTAAGGGGGGTTACACGCTGCCACCATTACGGGCAGCGGACTCAACCACCGAGGCCACCCTAATATTCTTATCTCATACTTCTCTCTGTCTTATTTCCTTCATTGGTTCTGTCTACATATTTCAGTTCATGGTTACTACATAACCTCAGTTCTTTTGGTAGCATGGCGAGGGCAGGCACGTGGGTACTGTAATTCTGGTATGAAGGTCACTTGGACAAAAATAAAGGTGGATACCGAGGTGAAATGAATACCCCTAATATACTCTAAGAAAAGGTTTATTAATATGAAATCATTATGACCATGACAACTGAACAAGATAATGTTCACCTCGTTGTGTTTGCCATAAAAATTTATAAGGTTTACTGTACTGTACTGTACTGTACTGTGCTCTACTTTATACTCTTCGCTGATCAAACACTTGTTTGTCAAAATTAATTTTCAAGGTACAGTACATTGAGTACAGTGTATTGTATATTTTTATGAAAAATATTGTTGAAAATATCACAGTATACATTACTTTTATTTTATGAAAACTATCATGTTATTATCTGGTAGTTTCTCATTGCTATGATTTTATGATACACAACCATATTTTTTCTGAACAAGAGTGATAGTAATTTTTATTTACACTGTCTTATACAGATGCCAGGCACATCCAGAATTTCCATTCAGATATGATGTGCTTACAGACGGCTTCACACATGATCTGTGGGAAAGACCACCACCTGGCAGTTTTAAGTTTAGAGGAAGAAAAACAAAATTTTTCAAAGGCTGGAAGAAATGGAATCTTGGACCTCTAGCTAGACCTGTTGATGAGGAGGAGGAGGAGGATGATGATACAAGCTCTAAAACAATGACCCTAAGGGAAGCCAAGAAAACAGCCCCTTCACTTAGCAATGCGAACATAAATGAATGGCCTCAGTTGGACATAGGAGATGAGGACACAAGAGGTAATACCTGGTTTATAAGGAAACAGACCACAAGTTATGATGCTTAGTGACAAACCACTAATGATGCTGACCCTCATACATCCATACAAGATCTCACATATGACTGAAAATAACACAAAAGAAACAGTTGGTGAAAAATAAATGCCTATACATACATATATTATGTTCAAAACTCATACCATTCATTATATGTAGAGAGACTAGGTGTAAGTAAGGTGAAAAACGAAGTTTCATCAAGGATTATACAACACAACAGTCTGTACTCATCCATAATGTTCTGAACCTACAAAGAGATGCAAAAATTATTACTGTACATAAAATCTGACTGTACAGTACACATAAATACCATTAGTGTTGGCATTACCCTACATATACCATGTGTATGTTAAAAATATAGATCAAAATAGCTGTTCATTAACATTGACCGTAACAGCTTTCTGATCTTATTTTAGCATATCATTTACACACGACCCAAAAAGGATACAGTAC